GGGAGGGAGGGAGAATGGACAGAAGGGAGGAAGGAACGAAGGAGGAAGGAAGGAAGGAATTTCCTCACAATGAGTGGAATAGCTTCCTTCCAGAAGTTAAGGGTGCTCCCATCACTGGAGGTTTTCAAGAAGAGATTGGACAACCATTTGTCTGAAATGTCACAGGGTCTCCTGCTTGAGCAGGGGGGTGGACTAGAAGATCTCCAAGGTCCCTTCCAGCTCTTTCATTCTGTCATTCTAAAATGCAAAGGAAGATGGTAGGAAAATTGGAGACGACAATTTTCCGTGCAAAACAAAATTACAACCTCAGCGGTTTACTTTTTTAAACGTAAAAAAAGTATGTTTGGTGAAATGCTCACAATTTCTTAGATCAGCCAACTAATCTAATTGGCAAAACCCAAAATCAGATTTTCATATATATATTTTTCCCCCCCTGTTTCGAGCGCGGTTTCCAAAGAGAAACAAAACTGGAATACTTTCCTCTTGAAATTAAAAGAGCTGCTCTCTCCATCCCTGCTAACTCCTTCACGTTTTTGGGTCTCCTTCCTGCACCCTATTTTCAGCACAAAACATGCCCTCCACTGCACGTCCAGCTTTTGCCCTGCTCCTTAGGCGAGAGGCCGGCAGGCAAATTCAGGAAGGGGTGAAAAAGACAAGGAGAGATCACTTTGGACCCCCCTCCCCCCCCTCCGTAAAAGAGGGACAACAATCCAATAAACAAATAAAAATATCGATCAGCCCAACCCGTTGGTTCGCTCTGGGTAAGACTTAAAAACTTCTGACCAACTTTGCCTGGGGGAGGGGGGGTGCTGGCTGACTAACTCAGCCTGGATGAGTCACCGCTACAGTTCCCTTCCGAGGATCTGGCTGGGCATGACTAAGAAGGCTCACGCTGCCTCTGGCCTTTTTTCCAATTGGGTCCTCGCCCCCCCCTTCCCCCCCCCCCCCGCTTTAGTTCCCATCCTTAGGTGAAGGCCGCTGAAATTCAGCCTCACCTTCCCTGTCGCAAAGGTGAGCGCTCACCTGTTTGCCAGTGGAAATATGAGGAGGTGGGACGGCTCGCCTCCCATCACTGGAGGTTTTCAAGAAGAGAGATTGGATAGCCATTTGTCTGAAATGTCTTAGGGTTTCCTGCCTGAGCATGGAGCTGGGCTAGAAGACCTCCCAAGGTCCCTTCCCAGCTCTGTCATTCTGAGAAGGTGGCCTTCCAAGAAGTGCAGTTGCTCCTTTTTAAAGAATATATGTATGTATGTATGTATAAAATCTCCTTGAAGCCGTACGTTACTTCAAAATGTGAACCTTTCCTGCCTATCTTTATCTTCCCCACTTAAAAGAGATAGATATATAGATAGAATTAGAATTAGAATGAATAGAATAGAGTAGAGTAGAGTGGAGTGGAATGGAATGGAATGGAATGGAATGGAATAATGAATAGAATTCTTTATTGGCCAAGTGTGGTTGGACACACAAGGAATTTCTCTTGGTGCAAATGCTCTCAGTGTCCATAAAAGAAAAGATACATTCATCAAGAGTCAAGAATCATGAGGCACAACACTTAATGATAGTCATAGGGTACAACAAGCCATCAAATCATACTAGGAAACAGTCAATATAGATCGTAAGGATACAAGCGACAAAGTTACAGCCGTACAGTCACAAGTGGGAGGGGATGGGTGATAAGGAGGGATGAGAAGATTAATAGTAATAGTAGTGCAGACTTTGTAAATAGTTGGACAGTGTTGTGGGAATTATTTGATGGCATTCGGGAAAAATCTGTCCTTGTGTCTAGTTGTTCTGGTGTGCAGTGCTCTATAGTGTTGTTTTGAGGGAAGGAGTTTAAACAATTTATGTCCGGGATATGAGGGGTCTGTAAATATTTTCACAGCCCTCTTTTTGACTCGTGCAGGATACAGGTCCTCCATGGAAGGCAGGTGGGTAGAAATTGTTTTTTCTGCAGTCCTAATTACCCTCTGGAGTCTGTTTCTGTCTTGTTGGGTTGCAGAACCAAACCAGGCAGTGATAGAGGTGCAGATGAAAGACTCAATCCTTCCTCTGTAGAACTGGATCAGCAGCTCCTTGGCCAGTTTGAGCTTCCTGAGTTGGTGCAGAAAGAACATTCTTTGTTGTGCTTTTTTGATGACGTTTTTGAGGTTACGTGTCCTTTTTGACTGGGAAGTCTTATAGCACTCACCTTTACAAATTGGAAATGGGATGCCACCCTACCTTCCCTCCCGGGCTCCTTTTGAAGCTGCTACCAGGCCCATGGTCCACGGCTAGCACAGCTGTGCGGCTGTCCTGCTCAGGTTGATGGAACCGTAACTGCGACGCTTCCTGAGATGCGTGGTGGTTGATGTCAGTACAAAGCAGTGTGGTCCTCAACAACAATGGAGCCCAGAATTTCTGTGGCTAAGCAAATGTCCCTTAAGTGAGGCTGGCCCCATTTTATGGCCTTTCTCGTCGCGGCCACTAAGCGAGTGACTGCAGTTGTTAAATTGGTCCCACGTTTATTAAGTGAATCTGGTCGCTTGGCAACTGGTTCAGTTTTATGACGCTCGCAGTCTCCCGGGGCGGGGGGGGGGTTGTTCCTTCTGACAAGCCAAGTGAATGGGGAAGCCAGGTTCACTTAACAACCATGTGACTCACTTAACAACTGCGGTGGTTCACTTAACAAACGTGGCGAGAAAAGCCACAAAATGGGGGGCAAAACTCACTTCACGTAGCCACATAAATCCTGGCCCAAAGGTCACCAATCTGCATTCCCCACCCCTTGAGGACTAGGAGCTTGAAAAGCAGGCATGGCAAATTCCTCATCCCAAAAAAAAAACCAAACCAACCACACTTCAAGTTCCTTCATTCCTTGCCCCAACCCTCCTCTCCTTCTGGCTTTTTTCTCCGTTTTGTGGAGATGCTCCTCCTCGCTTTCTTTCGGCCCGCAGCCTTTTCCATCAGCTGATCGCCCAAATACGGGGGGGGGAAGGGGGGAACCCAAAATTTTTTTCTTTCCCCACCCCAAATTTGTGCTCATGCTCCAGACCTCCCCCCTCCCTACCCTTGTGGGTTTAGCAAGGAGAAACCAGCAGTCCTTTTCTTTGCTCTTCTTGAGGATGGAGTCGAGGGACTTTTTTTGCAGCTGTTGGGGGGCAGAAATGAAACCCGGGCCTTGTTACAAAAAGGGTGGAGAAAGGGAGGCTGACCATAGGGGGGTGGGAAAGAGGGGGGGGGGGAGGAGGAGAAGGAGGCCGATCACCTATTTTTTTCCTCCCTCCACCCCGCCCCCCACCGCGTTGCCAATCTTCTCCCCAAAATACCTTTGCACTGAGCGTAGTGATTTTTCGGTGCATTTAAAACGCAATCTCCCCCCCACCACTTCTACCACCCATTTTAAATCCCCCCCTCCTTCTCCTCCTCTCCCCCCTCCCCAATTGTTTTTGGCATTTGCGGGGGGGGGGGGTTGTTGCAGTCTGAATGTTCTGTGTGCTTTAGGTCTGGAGAGGAGGAGGAGGAGGAGGAGGAAGTGAGTTATTTTAAAATCCGCATCCTGCAAAGGGCTGTTGACTTCCCAGGCTTTGCTTTTCAGCTGGCGCTGCAGCTCTTGTGGTGCATGATGTCATGGAAACTTCCCCCTCGGCAAGTTGGGTTGCATTCCCTCCCAGCCTTCTCTTCCTTCTCTCTCTTTCTCTCTCTCTCCCCCCCCCCCCCCCCCCCAGACAGAGCCAGCTTTCTTCTCAAGGGTGTGCCCCAGAATCGTATCCAGGAAAAGTAACTCAGCTGCTTATTTTTCGCCTCCCCACACAACTTCCCCGCGCCTCTCGCTTGCGAGTTCACCCGACTCTTCCTTGCAAAAGGTTCCAGGCAACGAGGAAGGCTGGAATTAGAAAAAGTGGGGGGGGGGGCGGCCTTTTTTGGGGGGGAAGGGTCCCCCCCCCCCCGCAGATTGCTGGAGAAATCAGATCAGGGCGTCTCCGCTTTCCCAAAACCGCTCTGATGCCCAGCCAGCCGGCAGAACCGGTCTTTTGGCCTCGTGGGCAGGGTTGGGCTGGGTGCAGATTGGCAGGCAGGAAATAAATAAAGAGAAAGGCAGAGTTGGGAGGGACCTTGGAGGTCTTCTAGTCCAACCCCCTGCTCAAGGCAGGAGACCCCCATACAATTCCAGGCAAATGATTGTCCAACCTCTTCATGAAAAGCTCCAGTGTTGGAGCACCCACAGCTTCGTTCCTCTGATGAATTGTTCTCGCTGTGAGGAAATTTCTCCTTCATTCCAAGTTGCTTCTCTCCTTGATTAGTTTCCACCCGTTTTACTTCTTGCCCTGGTGCTTTGGGAGAAAAGGTCGGCCCCTTCCTCTCTATGACAGACCCTCAAGTACTTGAAGACTGCTATCATGTCACCCGCTAACCCCTGTCTTCAATAAGCTAGAGATACCTTAAATCATTGTATGATTTAGCCTCTAGATCCCTGATCATCTGGGTTGCTCTTCTTGACGCTCTTTCTAGAGTCTCTGCGCTCATCCGTGCAGCAATAGCATTTTGGGCTCTTGGCATCTGACCGGCATTGACGGCCATTTGCATTATTCACAAGACCATGGTTATACTGACCAGTTTCCGGTCTTTACTTCCGACTTCTGGCGAATAAGCGCCCATTAAGAAAAACAGATTCATTTTATGACTGCCATGTCACCGCCACAAAACAAGGTCGTGAAATCAGTCACATGGTGAATGGCTTAACAACCGCCATGATTTGTGACCATAACTCTAGTTATGGTCATAAGTCGAGGATTAACTATTAGGTTTTGGTTCACTGCGTTGCGTAGACCGCTCCACTTGGGATAAACAGGATTAAGTCTAGGCCAACCAGCAGGTACTGTAATTTTGTTCTGAATTTCAGGCTCTCTGTTTCTCCCAACAGTTTCTCCTCGGCGCTTTCAAAGAAGCCCACATGTGCCAACAGTGTGCAGCCACAGCAAAATGGAAAAACGCCATTAGGCATTTAAATGTTCTCCTCTCCAGATATGCATAATAGAATTTGAGGGGGACCATGTGTGGGTTTTTGTTTTTTTTACACCGCTGGTTACCACTGTGGGCTCTACGTTGTGGGGATGTGGCTCAAGATTAACCCAGGTTCCTTTTGCCTTCCAGATGAAGACGGGCCCCTTCCCTGAGCACTCCAACCAGCTGTGGAACATCAGCGCCGTCCCTTCGTGGTCCAAAGTCAACCAGGGGCTCATCCGGATGTACAAAGCCGAGGTGAGGAAAGGCAGAGGAAGGGGGGGACCAGACCTCTCCATCCAGATGTCCTAGTTTTGGGTCAAACATCTGTCCGACCTTGAGGCTATAGTGAGTGGGCTAGGCTGTCCATGAATGTGAAGAGCTGGTATTTATCCGGTCACCTTGGACCTTTCATGAAAGCCCAGAGAGAAATAATTTGGTCTGGTGGTGAGGGTACCGTGATGGGAAGTGGGAGACAGGGAGTTCTAGTCCCACCTTGGCCCTGAAAGGTGTGACTGTTAGGCCAATAACCAGGAGACCGTGTATTCTAGTCCTGCTTTTAGCCCACCGGGTGATTTGGGGCCAGTTTACCCTCAGGCCTGGGATCCTGTATTTTTGCCTGGTGAATCCAGACCATGACGGATGCCGATGTCAAACTTCTTGTCCCTCTTCCATTTCTTTCCCCCACTTTTTCTAGTGCCTGGAGAAGTTCCCCGTCATTCAGCACTTCAAATTCGGCAGCCTGCTTCCTATCCAGCCTGTCGCACCTTAAGGAGCTCTGTTGGTGATGGGACCGCGGAAGGGGGGGGGGGGCCCTGGGGAGCAGGGGGGGGGGAAGGCTCCCCTTCCTAGTCACCCCAAAACCCCGCTGGCCTTGATGCTCCTTCCTTTCGGCAGGACCCAGGCAGGACATAACTGTCCAAGAAGACCCTGGCATTGGCACAAAAAACCAAAAAAAAAAAAAAAAAAGGCAAGAGGTGGACTTGACTCCGGCCACACGATGGTCCCCTCTTCTTCACCCCATTTTTGTTTGCCCCAGGGTGGTTGGTGCTCTTAAGGTTGGGAGTGGGGGGGTAGTTTGCCTCTCTGAACTGTGCTGTATATTTTGCTGGGGAAATACACTTGCTTTAAACTTAGAGACAAGCTGGACGTGCTGGCATTCTTCCCAAGACTCCCTTCCCAATCCTTCCACTTCTTGGCCCTGATCCCCTTGGACAAAGATCTCCAAACCTGGCCACTTTAAGACTTTTGGACTTCAACTCCCAGAATTCCCCAACCAGCACGTGTTGTCTCCACTTGGGGAAACCACGTTTGAAGGGTTCAGAACAGACAAAGGGCAAATTCAGAGAAAAGCAGCAAAAAAAGCATTATCTCTTGGTAGGATACATCAAGAAAAGGTTACAGATTTAGAGTCCCAGATTCTGCTCAGCGCCTGGTGAAATTGACTAGACAGGAAGGTGAAATTGACTAACTCTTGCTCTTTGTAAGATCTAGTTCTGGAAATTGACCTTGGGCTCGGTTTCAATTCGGCAGGGGTCCTAGATCTCGTGCAATCTGCTTTTCCTTGAATTTTGCTTCTTCCAAGTCACGATTTGCAAAAAATAACCTACATCTAAATAAGAGAACGGTGGTTAGACGCGAAGCCTCTTTGCGGGGCAGAAAACGGACAAAACGGGAAATAGCTAAAACGGAAATATCTATGCCGGCTGGGGATCTCTGGGAGTTGAAATCCATACACCTTAAAATTGAGAAACACTGGATTGAAGTTAACAAGGTTTTGCCAACCAAAACCACAGGATCTGCATACACAGAGCACCCCTAACAGATCAGGGGAAGACGGTCGCATTCACACCAAAAACCTAAAGCACGCAGGCGAGGGAATTATGGGAATTGACACCCACGCATCTTTTAAAAACCCACCAAGATTGAGAAACCCTGCTCCACACAATGGCAGCCTCTTTATTTTGAAAGCGTGGGTTGTCTCCCCCACTCCCCCACGCCAGCTTCCCAGCCACTTTTGCAAGCTGGATATTTAGCGAGGTGGGGGGAAATTCCCTCTTGGACCCCCCCCCCCAAGGAACCATGAAACCCGGTCCTTAAAAGGGAGTTGGGTGAGAAGGGGCATCTGGTAAGCTTGATCTGAAAGCTTCGTGGCCAGAGCAGTTCCTACTCTCCATCCCACCTGGAGAAACCCAAGAGTAACTCTGTGCGTTGAGAGATTGGCTAAGATTTTTCCTTTTTCCACGTGGACCAGAGAGTTCTAGATCTCCACACAAAGGAAGGGCGAAACGCTTCACCCCACCACCAATTTTAATATTGTCCATCGCTTTCGCCCACACCTTGAAAACATTTTGGTAAAAAAACAGCCCCCACCCACCCAAAAAAAACCCAAAACACAACTCCATGAAAGTATTCCTGATTTGTTTGTTTATTTTTCTTTCCGGTCAAGTTTTAAAAAAAAATTATTATTTTTTTAAGATCTCTCAGTTGAAGTTTATGGGGAGTACGTTACCTGCCCTTCCCCCCACCCTCCAAGTGATTTGAAAGAGGGGATCCGCAATTTCTGCTATAGCCTCCAATTCTAAGTCAACCAGTTCTGTAGGTTTATTTATTTTTATGTTTTCTTTTCTGGCTCCTTGCAAAAACTTGTCAACCTTGTCTCTCCAAAATGTGGGAAGGGGGAATTCCAAGAAACTGTTTTGCCAGTTTATTCCGTTTTAAAGGAAACCCCTCCCCCCCTTTTTTTCTTTTCTTTTTTTTAAATTTCCACCCTGAGGCTGATTTGAGAGAGGAAGGTGGTAACTTGAAAGGGTGGATTTTCTAGTAAGTAGTGGATTCCAACCGCTGATCTCTTTGAGGGATCCTCGGTATTCTCTTGAGCGTGGTGGTTTTCTTGCAGACGTTTCACGACCCAACTAAGTAATGTCCTCAGTTCTAGGAGAGAGTGGGGTTTTCAGAGAGGAGGAGGAGGAAGAAGAAGACAATGACAACTGTGGGGTCCTTGGTGCTCTCTCATCTTAGTGGCTTTCTTGTTTCTCGTCACCCAACTAAGTAACATCATCGGTGCTAGAAGCAAACCCCACTCCTTTATTTCCACTGATGATGTAACCTAGTTGGGTGATGAAACGTCCTCAAGGAGGAAAAAAAAAAAAACCCAGGACAGAGAACACCGAGGACACCCCTCCATGTCAAAGGCCTGAGCTACAAATATTCTCCTCTTTATTTCCAAGCTTTCCCATAGCCTACTCTACAGCAAGAAGGCCTCTTGCAATCGCACTCGGAATGGCCATACTGCACAAGACAAACCCAACTTGCCTCTTGAAACTGTGATCAAAGCAAGCGGCAGCTTCAGCTTGCAGATGGGGGAGGGGTGGGGGGTGGGATTTTTGCAAACCCTGCATGTGTCTACTCAGCCCCCCGGGGAGGAGACACCCCCTCCCCTCTCCCCCCTCCCCCTCAAAACGGCCATCTTTCCTTTTTTTTTGTGCTAAACACCAAGGAGTGAGGTCGTCGGCGCCGGGAGAGCTGTACCTTCAATTAAATAGGATTGGCCTTTTTCTCTGTGTGACATAGCTTTTATTTAATCCCAGATATTATTCAGGGCCCACCTGCGCGTTCCTTCGGCTGGATGGTCAAGAGGTTTTCGAACCGCCTCTTCTTAGATTTGATAGGATAGTAGTTTCGCTTAAAAGGTCTCCAAACCTGGCAACTTTTAAGACTTGTGGGCTTCCACTCCCAGAATTCCCCAGCGTTTTTCTTCAGGCATATCAGCCCACATGCCGCCTGGGGAATTCTGGGAGTGGGAGTGCACACGTCTTAAAAGTCACAGAGAGCCCTGGACCAGAATGTGGTGGGCATTCAGTTGGACGTCCTTTAGCCCGTCTATCTGACCCGTAGCTCTGCACACCGTGCCCGTGTCTGGAACGGTCAATCCTGGGCCCTTGAACCTGTTCTCCGGTTCTCTTCGCGCGGTGGTCGGAATCAAACCTGTTGAATTTTGGCTGGAGTTGCCGGCGTTTTGTTCAGGATCCGACCTGATATGTTTGTTGAGCTTTTCTCAAGGATTTGGGTTGAAGGCAAACTATCTCGACTCTTTTGGCTTGCGAGTACAAGCGATTCCCCCATTTTTAACGATCAGAATTTCCGTGGCCAAGGGTCGTTAAGTGAACCCCGCCCAGTTGTACAACCTGTTTTTTTTTGCCACCGTTCTTAAGCGAGTCATGTGGTCGTTAAACAAACCCGGCTTCCCGCGTTGACTGTACTCGTCACAAACCGGCTGGGAGGGTTGCAGGGCTCAGTCCCCCTGAACGTGGGACGCTGGTTTTGGTTCACAAGACTGTGGGGATGTTGTACGTGTGAAGACCGGGTCGTAAATCCATCCCAACGGGTTGCTCAGTGGTTGTAAGTTGAGGACCTCCAGTAGGTTGCTGTTTTCTGGGATTTCCAGATGGCAAACTTGGATCTCTTGAGCAACAAACAATAATCATCCGGCGATGGTTCGTTGGCCCGAGACCAAATCAGCAGACTAAATTCCTGACCGAACAACATTTCGAAAGAGTTCCTTAAGACCATCAGATCTGTTTGTCTACTGCTTGGATTATCTTAACACCCATCCACCCCCCGCCGAATGTTTCTAGGGAGAGAAAGCGGATCCCAGGTCCTCTGTGTTTCCCTTGTTTCCCCCTTTCTAAGAACTATTTAATTCTGGGGCGTGCAACTTCGTACGGGCCGGAGGCGAAGTAAATTACCATTTAGGCCAGGTGCCGGATCAGTGAAATTACACAGTTAATAGAAGGGCCTTCCTGTGCTTTTTTCCCCAACTCACCTGTCCGGGTAATGAGAGTAAAATAAGGCAACTGAACAATGGGATGACGATGATGATGATGGTGATAATCATATGTTTTTGAGGAGATCAGGGTGGCACCCCATTCCGGAGAAGCTCGTTCTTGTCCCCTAGGATCTGGGGAAGAACTCACTGGGACGGGGTGCGTTTAAGCTTTGAGGGAGGCCACTCTGGAGAATATTTTGAGTTGTCTTCAAATTCCGAAAAAAGGTGTTGCCTAGGAGAAGGTTACAGCCTGCAAAGCACCTGAGGGGGATGCCTGCCTTGGTAGCATTACTTGCAAAGAAGTAATGAAGTAGCATTACTTGCAAAGAAGTAAAGACTACACAGGTAGTCCTTGACTTACGGCCATTCGTTTAGTGGCCATTCGAAGTTACAGCGGCACTGAAAATAAAAGGGACTTGAGGGCCATTTTTCAAACGTCCGTTGCAGCATGCCAGCATTGGTCACGTGAATGAAATTCAAACGCTCGGCAACTGGCATGTACTTAGGACGGTTGCACCGTCCGTGGGAGGGGAGGGGCACGTGATCCGCTTTTGCGACCTTCTGACACATCAAAGACAATGGGAGAATCCAGGTTCAACTTAACAACAGCAAGGGATTCACTTAACAACGGTGGCAAGAAAGGTCGTGAAATGGGGCTAAATTCACTTCAGTGTTTCGCTTAGCAACAGAAACGTTGGGCTCTGAGGTGGTCGTAAGTCAAGGACTCCCTGCTAGCCTACATCAAGAAAAGATTATAGGCTTAAAGAGTCCCCGATTCTGCTGAACGGCTGGTGAAATTTGATTAGACAGGAAAGTGAAATGGGCTAATTCTTGCTCTCCGTAAGATCGAGTTGTGAGATTCGCTTAAAGAAGGGGTTCTACTAAATCCCGAGCAATCTGCTTTTCCTTGAGTTTTGTATCTTCCAGGAAAAATTATTGGGCAAAGGGGAGGGAAAGGCATTTGCTTAAAAGCAAACATGGAACGCACGTCTAAATTGGAAGATGATGATTAGAAGCGAAGCCTCTTTGCGGGCAGGAAATGGACACAACAGGAAACAGTGGCTGATATGGAGAATTGTGGGAGTTGAAATCCACACATCTCAAATGGTTCCTGGGATCTAGAAACCCCGAATAAGAAATTAGCCAGGATTTGCTAAGTAAAACCATATGAATGGTGTTGCAACACCCCTAACCAGAACAAGGGAAGACAATTGCATTCACACAAAACTTGAAGCTTCTTTAGCATCAACCTTGGTTAGTTTTCCGTGGCTTAACATTGGGCGAGTTTGATGGTTCCGGATATTTGACAAGCTTGCTGCCTCCCCCAAAACTAATTCAGCACCCTAATTAGAACATTCCCAACAAATTCTGCTTTTAGATTTGCCAAAGAGTCTTGAGACTTTATGCAAAGACTTCCTGCAGGAAATCAGTCCGGAAAATACATTCCGGTAATTGATTTCCAGGATTTCTTTCCATTCCAGAGGGGATTGCAGGAATTTCAGCTTGAGGAGCCTCTCATGGTCCTTAAGGATCATCAAACAGGTGACAGGAACTTTTTTTTTTTTTAAGAGATATAAGCACTCCGGGCAGATAATATAAAAGCTGGTTGAAAACTGAGCCCGAGCAATTTCTTTACTGACATCCTGCCACAAGCGCTCACAGCTTTTAAAATAGCTCTGCTATTAACATCACTAAGTGGATAAAATGAATCTGTGCCTGAATCATGATGGACTTTCGGGGGCTTCGGTTTGTGTCTTCTACTCCCCCCTGGTTTCAAGTAAGGGGAGATCAAAAGGACACAATCCTGCATCCACTTCGGCTCACCACAATACAAAAGAAAAAAAAAATTGAGACTCTGGAAAGAGGGCAGAGAAGAGCAACCAAGATGATTAGGGGACTGGAGACTAAGGCATATGAAGAACAGTTACAGGAACTGGGCTTGGCTAGTCTAGGGAAGAGAAGGACCAGGGGAGACAGGATAGCGGTCTTCCAATATTTGAGGGGCTGCCACAGGGAGGAAGGGGTCAGGCTATTCTCCAAAGCACCCGAAGGCCAGACAAGGAATAATGGATGGAAACTGATAAAAGGAGAGATTCAACCTGGAAATAAGTAGAAACTTTCTGACAGTGAGAACAATCAGCCCATGGAACAGAAGTTGCCCTCGGAAGTTGTGGGAACTTCATCACTTGAGACTTTCAATAAGAGATTGGACTGCCATTTGTCAGAAATGGTGTAGGGTCTCTCCGGGGGGGCGGGGGGTGGATTAGATGACCTACAAGGTCCCTTCCAACTCTGATTATCTGTTATCTGTTATTTATCTCTTCTTAAAAACTTCCAGTGTTGGAGCAATCACAACCACTGGTTAATTGTTCTAAATGTCAATAAATTTTTTTTTAGTTCTAGGTTGCTCTTCCAATATTTGAGGGGCTGCTACAAGGAAGGGGGAGGGGGTCAACGTATTCTGCAAAGCACCCAAAGTCAGGACAAGAAGCAACGGATGGAAACCAATCAAGGCGAGAAGCAACCTAGAACTTAGGAGGAATTTCCTGACAGGACAATCAATCAGTGGAATGGCT